TACATTTTGGCGGTTTGTTAATTTTTTTTCCAATTATGAATACACCAAAGGAAAGATCTAATCTTTCTCTCTCGTATACCCAAATACGGTTCCAACATAATAAAAAATGGTAGAGTTATCGATTTTTGAATAGGAAGATTTGAATTCAAAATTTTTTAAAAAGGTCTAAATATTTCGAAAACGGTTAAACTTAGGTATAGGGAAGGCTAATGAAAACTCTTTCAAAACCACTTGGGTAATCCAAAAACGCAATAAAAAACATAACTTTATATTTAAAATAACGAAGTTGGCACCCATTTCCGGTGTAACCGGAAGTGCTGCCATCTTGAAAATATTTTCATTGAGCAGGATCTAAACGATTATGACTATAGTCAAAATTTTAGATAAATATCATTGTTAGAACTCCCGGTACTTCTAATGTAGAGTTTAGCCGAAACACCCTGTATTTTGTACGAAAATATTGAATTTCTTGAATTTTACCAGCTAAGTAAATGGCTCGCGGTGCGGTTTCCACCGATAATAAAGCAAAACGATAATAATAATAAATTTTTGCGGAAAATGCACTTGCTATCTAGAAAATGTAAAACTAGATAAAGGATAAGGGCCTGGAAATACACACAATAATGTCACCATTTTATATTACAGGCCTCGAAGGTCCAATTATGCTGTAAGAGCATTGCGAGTCTTGCATACTACAGAGGATATTTACTTTTTATTACATAAAACAATTCTACAAACTCGACGAGTTTCTTCCCGAAATCAATATACTCCTTACAAAAGAAAAAAAAAAGTTCATCTCTCCTCGTAACGTTATACTTTTATGAAACTTTGATTTTCGCAGATTTCTATTTCATTTTGTGCGTGTTTTTCGCCTTTTCTTGCGATTTATGTGACGGTTGCGTAAAATGATATTTAAATTTTACATATACACAAAAAGCAAAATATCATGCGGTGTGGGTGTGTTGCTAATGCTTTCACATAACAAACATTATTAAATTTATTTCATATTTATCTCCTTTGTCCTTTAAACCATTTAATTATAATTTTAATTTATTCATCGGAGCCAAACGAAAACTTTCAACAACTCGATTTGCATTTCGGAACACTCTCCCAAAAATTTACCAACTAAACTTTACACAATCGACCGGTAATTATCGCAAATACAGGGTGATTAAACAATTTTCTCCCCAAACATTTATTATTAATAATAAAGAAAGAATTTTCTCTGTAAGGTTTCTATCTCATATCTGATAGGCAATAAATAATAAACTTATTTTGGAGGTGAAATTCTCCTTTTTTTATTTTTTTAGTAGCAGCATTCTAGATGAAATATTCGCTTTCAACAACAATATACAAGCAAGTGTTAATTTCTTGCCGTTATTAATTAAATCACACGAGCAAGTGTTCTTATTGCAATATTTTGCATAACTTTGCCTCGAGTAATCGATAATAAGCAAAAAGTTTTTCCTGGTTTGCCATGTGATTTTATCGAGTAAAAAATATTGGATTAATTTTTTTATCGAATCATGCAAACTACATGCAAATTGTTGCGACCCTTATCAAAGATTTTTTTTTATTTTGGCATTTTTTGAGAATTTTTTTAACAGTGAAAACGCCCGCATTGCTTGATGTTTTGATATTTTACGATAAAAAAGCTCTCATGGTTTTATGTATGTGCTTTGCTCTTGTGCTTACGCTCTCTTATTATGCTTACTACGTTAAGTTTTGAAGTTTTTAACATTTTCGATTTTTGTCAAAATTTTGGTCAGTTTTCGGTCTACCTCAAATAATTTCGGTACTTCAGAAATCAGAAATAATAAATTTACAAAATAAGAGAAAGATTTCTATTTCTATTTCTCTATTTTCATTATACATTTCATGTTCCCTTTTCTTTTACTTACCTTTTGTTTACCTGTACACATTTCTCAATTACACTTATAGTACGTATTTTAAAGCTATTATTATTTATTTGAATTATTGTATCCGAATTTTGATAATATAATTAAACAATATAATCATACAACTCAAAATTTTCCAAAATTAATTTCTTACACGCCTACAATATTTAAACACTTTTCTAAGTTTTTTAGAGTTTTAGAAGGGCATTCTGATTACTTTTATAGTTTTTAATATTTTCCATTTTTGTCAAAAGTTTGGTCAATTTTCGGTCTACCCCGCAAATATCTCCAGAACTATTGTCAATAATAATAATAAATTTGCAAAATAAGAGAGAGATTTATTCATTTCCTAATTTTGATTATACATTTCATGTTATCTTCTCTTTTACTTACCTTGTGTTTACTTATACACATTTCACTATTACACTTATAGTACGTATTTTAAAGCTATTATCATTTATTTGAATATTAGTTTTAGAATTTTAATAAGAGAAAATTAATAAGAAAAAAAACTTACCTTTTGTTTTTGTTTTATTTAACTTACCTTTTATTTACTTATAGATGTTTCACTTTTACACTTTTGTTCGTACACTTTTCAAATTTCGCTCTCTCTTTCTCTCTCTCTCTCTCTCTCTCTCTCTCTCTCTCTTATTATATTTATTTAGACATTTAGACAGCGCCGACGACAGTGTCGATGCTGTAATCCAATATAATCATTTAAATACAAAATTTTCCAAAATTTATTTCTTATATGCCTACAAGGTTTTAAGCACTTTTCTGAGTCTTTTAGAAAGGCATATGGTCACTTTTTAAATTTTTAATTTTTTCGATTTTTATAAAAATTTTTGGCGATTTTCCGTTAAAAAGCTCTCATGCTTTTATGATTAAGGACTTTTGTCTTTTGCTCTCAGCTTTATGCTCTCTTATTTGTTCATGCTCTCTTGTTATATTTACTACGTATACAGGGTGTTAAAAAAGGTTGTAAAATATTTCAGAAGATAATAGTATGGACCAAAATAAACAAAAAAAATTTAATAAACATGGGTCCGCAAAGTAACGGTTTTGGAAATATCGAACGTGAAAATTTGTAGAATTTTTACTAGAACCTTGTCTTTTTTGATTACGATATCTCTGAAACCGTTACTTTACGAACCCATGTTTATTAAGACTTTTTTTTGTTTTGTTCCATACTATTATCTCCTGAAATATTTTACAATCTTTTTTTAACACCCTGTATACATGTTTAAAGTTTGCGCTCTTATGCGCCAACCATCTTTCAACTCTTCTTTAAATTAGTATTTGAATTTGAATTATAGAAAACTTGTCAACTTTTGCGGGATTTGAAGTGACCTTATGTCACTACGCCACCACGCTCCCGGTATGTTATTCTGCAATAGTATAATTTATTCATAAATTGTTTTATTTTTGTGTTTCTAAGACGTTTTATACACTTTTAGACCCCTTGAGTGGATTTCGATAAATTTTAAAGTTTTCAGACATTATAATGTTACTATCGATATTTGGTATGATATTAGGATCAATAAAAAATAAAAAAAATTACTCGTATTATCATTTTTATTAATTAACAATTTCAAAGGAATAATACAGCTTTGAATTTTCACTTTCCTTATCATATAATCCTCTAGAATGATAAGAGCTAGAAACTTGAAATTTCGTATGTAAGTTACTTGTAGCAAGGGGACGTAGCACGAAACAATTGGTAAAAATCGGTCGCACCGCTCGGCCGCACAAGACCAAAAAGGGGCCGCAAAATTATACCGTTGAAGATACAATAAATTCATGTTGATAAAAAATATTTAAAATCATGAAATATACTTTATTAAACAGTAAAATGTGAGAAAATAAAAATAATAATGGGTAGCGAACTATAATCTATTTCGCGTGTAATCGCAAACCTTAGGTTTGCAACTCGGATTTCCAACATTAAATTATTATCTATAGATGTTTTCCAAATAAGTAGGATAAGGAAAGTCGTGTGATGTTCATATCAGATTTTTTGTGTAATAATGAATGCTTTAATATCTATTTCGGCAAATTTGTTTCAAGGTGTGCGAATGTTGGACGGCGTGGTAAACGACGCCGTCGAGGCTCGCGCCCTAGGCCTCAACCCCGAACACATCGACATTTACAGCGCCTCTTGGGGCCCCGAAGACGATGGAAAAACCGTCGACGGTCCTGGCCCTTTAGCCCGTCGTGCCTTCATCTACGGTGTGACAAGTGGGCGAAAGGGCAAAGGTTCGATTTTCGTATGGGCGTCGGGAAACGGCGGTCGCCATACCGATTCGTGCAATTGCGACGGCTACACCAACAGTATTTTCACCTTGAGCATCTCAAGTGCGACCCAAGGGGGCTATAAACCCTGGTATTTGGAGGAGTGTTCATCGACACTTGCAACAACATACAGTTCCGGTACGCCGGGTCATGATAAGAGCGTCGCGACGGTGGACATGGACGCGAGACTTCGCCCCGATCACATTTGCACTGTTGAGCATACGGGGACGTCGGCGTCGGCCCCCCTCGCCGCCGGGATTTGCGCATTAGCCCTCGAGGCGAATCCGAGCCTGACATGGAGGGATATGCAATATTTGGTGGTTTTGACCTCACGTTCGGCCCCCTTGGAGAAGGAAAGTGGGTGGATTACGAACGGTGTGGGTCGGAAAGTCTCGCATAAGTTCGGTTATGGACTTATGGACGCTGGGGCTTTGGTAAGTCTTGCCGAAAAATGGACTACTGTACCACCGCAACACATCTGTAAGTCCCAAGAAGTTGTGGAGGATCGGCAAATTGACGCCGCGTATGGTACCACTTTGGACTTCCATATGGACGTCGATGCTTGTAGTAACTCACTGAATGAAGTCCATTTTTTGGAACACGTCCAATGTAAGATTTCCCTACGGTTTTTCCCCCGTGGTAATTTGAGGATTATTTTAATCTCGCCGATGGGTACGACTTCGACACTTTTATTTGAAAGGCCACGTGATGTTGTTAGTTCGAATTTCGATGATTGGCCCTTTTTGAGTGTGCATTTTTGGGGTGAAAGGGCCGAAGGGCGATGGACTTTGCGTATAGTTAACGCCGGAAATCGACATGTGAACCAACCGGGAGTTTTGAAAAAATGGCAATTGATCTTTTATGGCACTTCTGTGAATCCCATACGTGTAAGACCTGCAGGCAGGCCACAATCTAGTCCCTGGAAGTCGCCACTTAACACTTTCACGTTTCCAACTGTTTCCGAATCGGTGACTCAAGTCACTGATAATTTCTTCAAAGATTTTCACAATTTTCCGAATATTTATGCGTTTGCGGGCTCGGAACCCGAACAAGCCGTCAGTTCATTGGACGGAAAAAAGACGAAAATTCGCGACAACGATAACAACAACATCGATGATGATGAAGAAACTAGAGAAAACTGTGATGAACAATGTGATGATCAAGGTTGTTTCGGACGTGGACCGACTAAATGTGTAGCTTGTAGAAATAAAAGGATGGATAGGTTGGTTTCAGTTGTTTGGTTTTTCAGGTGTAACATGTGATTTTTCAGGACTTGTATTAGCACTTGTCCACCGCGTAGTTACGCCGATTCCCAGGGTGTGTGTCAGCCGTGTCATGAAGCTTGTGAAACTTGCACCGGTTCGGGGCAAAAAAATTGCCTTACGTGTGCACCAGGTCACGTGAGAGTTGTCGATCTGGATATTTGCCTACAACAATGCCCCGAGGGCTACTTCCAAGGTAGGGGTGCCGACTTTTCATATTTTCAAAAGAAAAAACTTGATAAATTAATCGTCTTTAAAGCAATACTAATAATACAGGGTGTTAAAAAAAGATTGTAAAATATTTCAGAAGGTGATGGTATTTATAAACTAAAACAAACAAAAAAGTCTTAATAAATCTGCAAAGTAACTGTTTCGGAGATATCAACAATTATTCTTTTTTGTTTATTTTGGTCCCTACAATTACCTCAAATATTTTACAATCTTTTTTTAATACCCTGTATAAAAAGTTTCTTTTCGGATGCTATAAATTTGCACACAAATACATCAAAAAAACGATTTCTTTTTCTATGTTTTTGCTGAATTTAATTGTACTTAATATTTTTCGTATAAGTCAAAAGAAAAAATCAATAAATGACATTAAAAAAATACAAAAGTGGTTAATGTATATACGGAAAAAAATTGTAAAAAAATAATCATTTAGAAAATATACATGTTCCAAGTCGCAAAATGTTTCAAGTTGTTGAGTTTTAATAAATAATACATTATTGTTAAATTTGAAAAAAAACATCGGGAACTTGACTTTTGAAAAATTGACTTTTTTGAAAATTTGCACGAATGTTCGTAAATCGAGTGCTGAATACAGCTGAATACAAGCCAAAAAAAAACACAGAATAAGGCAGAAAATGATTTTTTTTGGAAAGTTCAAGCAGATTTTTAAGCTGAAAAGTTTGGTTTTTTTGCGAGAGTTTGTCATAGCATGTCAAAAATCACTAAATTGTTATGAAAAGGGATTATATTATAACACTTTTACTCGTACCTAATTCTTAGGCTTTATCTTGATTATTTCGTCAAATTTTCTCGAAGAGAAAAGCACCAAATTGGTTAAAAATAGTTCTATTTGTTTTTTAAAAGATTTAACTAAACAGAGTCGAAATTGACAACTTATTTATGTATTTTTTGAATGCTTTTTCCGCTAGAAACACAATTATTTTGCAAAATTTTGTTAAAAACATGTCACGAATTCAACAAAATAGCCCAAAAATGGCGTTTTTTGGTCTTTTTCGAGTGTTTAAGCATGTTTTTGATAGACAAAAACACAAAAAGTTTTAAATTCTTTTAATTAATGGAATTTGAGATTGGGGTATGCAAAAGCTTGAATGGTCTAAAAATTAGTAAAAATTTTCATAAATATAAAAAACATTTTTTTTTAATTTTGTCGATTTTTTTTATGCAAACTTAAGTTAAAAGAAAATGTTTCATTTTGATAAAGATTACACAATGTTCAAAAACAATTATTTCCTTTAATTCTTTTATTAAACTTTTCTCAATCGGTCCTAGAAAAAAAATGGCTTGATTTAAAAATTTAGAGCTATTCGGCGTACATTAAGTTGTAAAAAAAAACCTGGACCATTAGTCTCCCCATCAATATTTGTGAATACGTGGTAGATTTATTAAAACAACAAAAAAATTACTTCTTGCTCTTTTTTTTTTAATCAATGTTGCGACTGAAAAATTTTTTTGTTTCAAAAAATCGTAAAAAAATCTTGTAGGAAGTTTATTCCAGTTTTTGAAACTATTCTTGTGGTCATTGGTTGCTGAAATGTCGATCATCAAATACAAAAAACCCGTTTTCATTAAAAGTCAAATATCTCAGCGACAAATTGACGTAAAGGGGAAAAATATATTTTTTTTTCTTTTCCTATTTCTTAGGATTACATAATAATCGCCGTTCAGAATATTATTTGCCAAAAAATCTCAAGACCTGAAGTTTCAAAATGTTTTTTTTTAAATCTAGATGCAACCATTTTTTAAAGATCACCAAAAAATTTAAGAATTTTTAAATTCCTTAATTTTTTGGAATACAAAGTATGGAACCAAGCAGTTTTTTTTTAATCACTTGCCGCCAGAAAATAATAATTGATATAAAAAATTTGATCGTATTTTGAGAACGAAATTTTGTTTAGTTTTTCAATTATGCGATTTTTTTTGTCAAAATTACAATTTATGTAAAAAAAAAATTTGAGAAAATTAAGTATAAAGTAGTGTTGTATCGAACTAAAGGAGTTGTGTATAGTTACGGTTTAGTCTTTTATGAGAAAAATGGTTTTATAGTGCGTTACCATTTAAAAAAAATATTTTTTTTTGTAGAACTCAAAAAAATTGAAAATTTTGAAAAATTTTATTCTTGAAAAAACATCTCATTTTTATACTACTTTATCATTCATCAATTAGTTTTTCCAAAAAATAAATAGTTTAAGCAAAAAACGTTGGGTTCTATACTTTTTATTCACCTGGTATAAAAAGTTTATGTAGTATTTGAGACAATAAGAAATCGTTTATTAAGGAATATTTCACTGAAAAACTTAATTTTGAATTAATATGAAAAATGGAAAAATAAAATAAAACAAGATAAACGATGAATTTGATCCATTTTCTCGAAGATGAAAATAGAATAATAGAAACTTTAAGACATTTATGACATTAAAAGTGATTTTAAAGAAGTCAACTTTACGAAAAAAAAATCTATATAGTACCAAGCGTCATATTTTTTTTCACCTTAATTATTATATTAAAAAATTTTAATAAGTCCATGGGCCTGAATGCCGGTTATAACCGAAAATTGCAGATTTCGTCGCGAAGACTTGCACCCCTTGCCAGGCCAACTGCGCGAATTGCCAAGACCGGCCCGACCATTGCACCAGTTGCGACCATCACCTCCTCCTCTACCAGAACAAATGTCTTGCGTTTTGTCCCACTCACACCTACGAAACGGAGGATTACACGTAAGTAATTCGTGTCTTGAGACGGGGAGAAAAATTGTTAAATTGTGATTAGGTGTGCTCCGTGTCACGAAAGTTGTGAAACTTGCAACGGTTCGAATAGTTCTCAGTGTGTTTCTTGTACACAAGGACGTTTCTGGCATGAAAATCGTTGCGTGAAGGAATGCCCTGCTCATCACTACGCCGACCCGCATCAACACGAGTGTATTGAATGCCCTCCAGGGTGTTCGGAATGCAACAAGACGACGTGCATTTCGTGTCTGGATGATTGGCAAGTCAATGCAAAGGGACGATGCGTGCCACATGGAAGCGAACGCTGTGATATAGGTAAATGATTGATTGACTGAACACCTGAATTTCATGTTTTTTTACCTGAAAATATCATTGAATTTGATGGATTTTTACCTAAAAATATCATTGTTTTTTATCTGGGGATTGTTTTCCGGAGAAAACTTTTTGGTATTTTTTTTAGTTTACT